TCACAATCCCTTTTTCCATTTAATATACCCTTCTTTGTAAATAAATTATTTCTAAAACATTTTTGGTATTCATACTCAAATTTGAAAATTATATTTATTTTCTAACTAAAAGTATTACTTATGATATAATATTTGCAATAAAGAATTTCAAAAAGAACATAAAATGATTATCCTATCACTCAGAAGACCAATCACATTTTGTTGAGTATTCTGGTATCTTTTCTTCTGTACATATTTCTTAAAAAATGTATAACAGTTTCCACTAACATACTTTTCACTCCTTGTACAAGATGAATATTTCTACATACATTAAATTTTCTACAAGATATGATTTTCAGTAATTTCAAAGTAGTCCATTGTGTGGCTAAAATCATCATTCCCTGAAACAATCTGTACAACTGGACATGCAAATTGCTTCTAATTATTTATTCCTATAAGCAATACTATGTTCTGCATATACCACATTCTTTTAATGGACATGTAGTATTCCATTTTATAGTTATATTATCATCAATAACTTTTAATTATCTCATTTCTAAATATTTTACTTAAAAATACTGTCACTGTTAGAGCAAATCTTTCTCCATAACTTTAATTTTTTATTATTTTTGACATATTTGGTGAATGGTTGTTTCAAGTTCATCAGCCCACAAAGTACTAAACACTTTCTTCATGCTCTGGAGGCAGGTAGAAGAAGCACAACATATGACCCCAAACTTTCAAAGTTGAAGTTCAGTTGCAAATATACCATGTAAAATAATAATGAATAATTTATTCTAGTATATTATTAAATGTTAAATTGTGAGTTTATGATTTAATGATTCGATGTGTAGTTTGGAGAGAGACAGAGTAATGAAGCCTTGTGTAGTGAGAGAGGGCTGTAAGGATGAAATGCAATTTGATCTGAAATTTGAAAAGTGGGCTAGGTTCCTAGTCAAAGAGGATATAGGACATTCCAGGGCAAACGAGTAAGATGCACAAAGGCTTAAAGATCTAAGTAATTTTAATGTAGTCACAGTATCATGGGAAGGCTTTTAGGGTTAAAGTCTTTGAATGCCACTGCTGACCAAATTTTTTACAAGTCTGAAAAATCTGAGCAATATATTAATTTGCTGTGTTTTTAATGTTTACTTTTGTATCCCTCAGATTCTAGGAAATATCTTAACCCAAATTTGTGATTTGTGAAAATTGTATTTTCTTTTCTGGAAAATGTTGAATGACCTGTATTATGTGGTATTGCAGTTATTTATATATATTGTATGCAATGTGTTTACTTGATTTCCAATGAAGCATTCTTTAAATAGTCTGAATCAGTATTGCTTTAGTCCTTTTATTGGGATCAGGATCTTTTAAAATAATATTTTGAAAATGTCTTTACTGTTAGGTTTGGTGGGTTCATTGAGGTGAGGGACTGAGAAAAAAAATACATTTGGAGTTAAGTTTCCTTTGAATGAACTAAGGCTTGCTAAGTGCTCTTGTGCTGTGCATTTTATGTTGTTCATATGTCCAGTCATGCAGTTCAGTAATGGTTTTCAAAAGAAAGATTAAAAGAAGAGAAATAATCTTTTTGTTATTAAAAAAACATATATAACTAGCTTTCTGAAAATTTGTCAAAAAATATATCCACATTATTATTGTAAGACAAAGCACATTTATATCATTGTCTTTGTAGGAAGCAGTGTTTCCTCAAGTGGGGTCAGGAGCTGTGTATCAGAATCACTAGGAGTGTTCATGAGTAGTCATATTTCTGGACCTCCTGAATAGCTGGGATTACAGGTGTGTGCTACCAAATCCAGCTCATTTTTTAAAAATTTGGATTATTTACTTTATTTCACACAATAATTTATTATATTTATTTATTTTTTTTTTTGGTGCCAGAGATTGAACTCGGGTCCTTCCATTTGTGAGGCAGATGGCGGAACCACTGAGCTAAATCCCTGGCCCAGTAATTTACTATAAATGTGTTGATTTTTGTGCCATTTTTACCCAGACAAATTACTTATAGGTCTCTATTCATGAAATACCAATATTTACTAAATTTTAGAAAGGTAAACAAATGAAGGCCAGAAATGATACATTTCTCCCTTTTCCATTGTTCCTAAGGACAGTATGACATGATTTATACAATTTAAGGCATTCATGGTTTTATTAACTGCCTATATTGGTGCTTTGGTGACATATTACAAGTAGTTCTTATGGTTCTGTTGGGAAAATCATGACTCAGTTTCTTGCTCTCCATAGTCTATAGTGTTCAGCCACTTAGCCCAGATTATGGGGCTGAGGACAGTGTGGGTCATCTTTGCAGTAGGAACCCAGGGTTATTGTCTGTGGTGAGTAAAAACCAAGGAACATAGCCTAACAAGTAAGATGTGTATACTAGGCTGAAATTAATCCTGAGGAACAAAATGGTACCCTATGCAGATGAATGCTCCAGGTGTAACTTAAAAGTTGTTACCTAGGCTGGAGAACTTCTCTGAGCGTCTTTCAACTTTCATTTGGGAAGTTTGGGAAAATCCTCATGATGTGAGTCACTTGTAGGTAACTATTTCTATTTTTATTGTTTTGACTTGGTCTTTATTCCTTTAGGGTTTGAGTCAGATTTTTAAAATGTTTATTTTTAGGCTATGAGTAGTTTGCATTTGAAGAGAAAGTAATTGAAGGAAAATTGATCTAATGCTGATTATTGATTCATAAAAGCTTTAGTCATTTATCTGATATGGACTTTATTCAGGGTCAAAAGGGCACTGGCAGGAATATCTCTGAATTTTCACTTGTGCAATCTAAGAGGGAACTTTTTTTTTGAGATAGGGTCTCATTATGTAGTTCAGACAGACCTTGAACTTACTATATAACTCAGGTTGGCCTCTAGCTCCTGCTCCCGGCAAGGTGATCTTCCTGCCTTAGCCTCCCAAATGCTGGGATTACAGGTGTGTGCCTCCACACTTGGGTTCATTGGCACAATCTAAGGAACCATATACTAACCATGACTGGCATTTAAAAGAAGAGTTTCCTTACCTTATCCCACAGAATTGCTATAAACATTAAATGAGATAAAACTTCTTTCCTGGAAGAAGAAAGAGATCTAGGAGCAAGGTAGAAAGGAACTCTCTTTCTTGCCCTACTCCATTTATTTTATCCTTTTCAGCTATTTTTTTCCTGTCAGAAATATTTTGAGCTTCTCTGTTCTATGCTTTATACTCATGATAAGAAAGAAGAGGTAAAGATTTAGCTCACACCATTTCTTCGTTTGTTTGTATGTTTTGCAGGCCCAGGGCTTGAACCCAGGGCCTTCCCACTGTGCTACATCTCTAGACCTTTTTTTATTTTGAGACAGATTGTCACTAAGTTGGTAAGTCACCCAGGCTGGGCTTGAACTTGCAGTTCTCCAGACTTGGGTTCTCAGAATGCTGGAATTATAGGCATGCACCACCATGCCCACTAGCTCACAACATTTTTAACAGCTTTATGGAGATAACTTACACATACCACACCTTTTCCCCACTTAATGAATACAAACCAATGGTTTTTAGTGTATTCATAGGTTTCACAATATTTAATTTAGCTTGAAGCTCATATTAGTATTTTTTTTACTTCACAGTATCTCAGGTCTACAGGGAAAAAAAATCTTCCTTGAGCCCATTTCTAGATGTTTCATTCTTCAGTGCCTATCACTTATTAAACCCCACTGAGCACTATGAGCTCAACATTGTGCCTAGAAGCTTTACAGCATTGTCTCATTGTCTGCTCCCAGTAACAGAAAATAAGATTCCATCTTATATATGATACTACCTGAATACCTAGGATTTATTGAGTACAATTATCTCATTTAGTAGATGTGGAAACTTAGTGCTCTAGATTCCATGATATTTTTTCTCTTCTTTTCTTGCTAGTTATCAACTCTGTAACTTTTACCTTAGGTTTCTTCTTCTAGTTCTTAAAGTTTGAAGGGTTTCTTTGTGAAGAAAAGAGAGGAGCAATTAGGTTTTTCCTTGGAAGACTAGAAGCTTTACTTCACCCAGTTTTTTGTAGGGAGAGAGGATACCTTTGTGCAAACAGATAAGGTGAACGCAAAACTACTGAAGGTTCTATGCCCAAATGATAGTTGCTTCAAACAAATACTCAGTTCTCATTTAGAGAGAGATAAAACATTTTTTTCTATAGATTTTTAGATGTTTGTTACTTTCATCCTCAGGTTTGCCTTTCACTTATCTGTCAGCTGATGGACCTAATCTTCCTATCAGTTAGCTAACTTCTCTACTGTGAAGTAATTGCTATGCAAATGTTTCTGTAATAGACTTATCTTTTTATAAAAAATAGTTCTTAAATGTCACATGAAAAATGTGTTACTATGTGCTGAAGCATCAGTGGAAAGGGTAAGGAATAGAAAGAGGCTTCTGTAACTTGGACGGATGTATTGCTTAAGACAAATGAGTCTCTTCAAACCTCAGCACACAAAAATATTCAAATTGGCTAACTTTCTGGCATTGATTTTGGTATTTTATATATTTTTGGATGAACAGTGAACACTGGATACTGAAGTTAACTTTTCTACTGATTCTAAATTAAAAGAAACTATTTTGCTATGTACTTATTTTTTAGGCTATGGGAAGAGCATTGCTAATAAAAGTGCACAATTAAAGGAAAAACTTTGCCAGTCTTAATAATTATTCACTGAATGTCAACTTTTAAAAATGAAGAGTATAAATGAGTAAGAAGTTGAACTATCCATTTTTGAGCCACTTAGGCTACTTTATAATTTCAAAAATTAAACTTTGATTCTGCAATTTCAGGTTAGTTCCTTTGATAATTGTTTTTTTAAAAGTTTAGTATTGTTTAATCAGTTATATTTCTATTTGTTCTACTAAGTTAGTTATTACATTTTAGTTTAGTTAATGTATTTTATTTTTCTCACCAAATGTCATACACTGTCCTGAATTTGGGGCTTTTCTCCAATGTTACTCAAAGAAACCTAATGGCTTTATTTCATTTTGTTTTTCTAGGAGTCAGAGAATAATAAGTTATGTTCCCTATATTCCTTCCGAAATACCTCTACCTCACCACATAAGCCTGACGAAGGGAGTCGGGACCGTGAGATAATGAGCAGTGTTGCTTTTGGAACCCCAGAGCGCCGCCGAGGGAGCCTTGCTGATGTGGTGGATACACTGAAACAGAAGAAGCTTGAGGAGATGACTCGGACTGAACATGAGGGTACGTGTGGGCTTAGCTGTTGGGCTTTTCTTCTAAAGATTCCAGCTATAAAAAATGAGTGGGGTTTCAAAAGGCAGAGAAGTGCTAGGAAAAAGTTATTCAGCAGTCACCATGGTGACCATGGCAGATTGTAACCCATCAGGAGTGTTAAGCAGATAGCTCTGCTTCTCTTAAAACTTTGTGCATTTAAGAACATAGTTCTTATAATAATAAATCAAGGCTTTAAACTGACTATAAGCATCACCCTGGAAGAAGGTGGTGAGGAATTTTCCTAACCACACTTTTTCTTTTTTTTCTTCCTTATTTCCTTTTGGCAGATAGTATTTCTTTATAAAAATAATCAACTGTTTAAAAAGCAAAATCATTTTTTCTAATTTACTTCTCTTCAATTTTATAAATATTATAAATTTAATTTTTACCTCTAAATGTTGTGTAATGGAGAGTTGAGGGTTTCTAACACTATCAAAGCTGAGAATATTCACGGGTAAATGCTTTGACGTGTGACATTTGCTGCTACATCTTCCATTTATTTACCCTCCCTATTCTGCACAAGAGTCCACCTAGGTTCACCTAGGTTCTAGAAAACAGAGGTGAAAGAAGACTCTTCAGTAATATTTTTAAACAAAATAAATCAAGTTAAAGTGGTTGCTATACTATGCATGCTGTTTCATTTTTTAAAATACAGATTTCAACCTTAAAATGTAAGATAATGATCTTATCATCTATATTTATTACTAGTCTTGTAAGTTAAATAAAGACCTCTATGATCTGTAAGAAAGTTGGTATTTGATACAAAGGAATTTTTCTTCATGTAACTGTATTCCTTTAAGGGTTCAAATTTTAATTCTTAAATTTTTGGGGGGAGAAGTCTTTCTAAAATGTATGCTTCCCTGTTCTACTGGGTAGATTACATGGTACAACATAAATATTTTTTGGTGACTCAGGGTCATAATGCATTAGGTTAGGAATGGCGACACCTGTTTAACAACTGTGCAATACTGAGTAAATTCTTCAGTCTCTTTGAGTCACAAAATTTAAAATTTAATATAATACTGTCCTGGCAGCTGAAACATTGTGAGTATTAACTCTAATAATAAGTATAAAAGTCTGCTATGAACCATAAACTATACGAATTTGAGGTGTTGTGATGATTATATTATGCATGCCAATTATTTTACCATGTTTTAATGTAATGATGCCCCTAGAGATCATTGAGATAATAAAGATTGTTAGAATGTAAAGTTATTTCTCTGCAATTATAAAACTTTAGCATTTTGTGTCTCCTTGATATTTGTGTGTGTGCATGTGTGTATATGTATGTGCATGCATGCATGTTGTTTCTTCCATCAATAGTGAGTTTCAGGCTATTTCTTGCTTAGTTGTGAATTATTTATAATTTGTCCCTTTTGTTAATCTATAGGATGTAAAATGAGATGATTAAAACATTCTAAAGTATATTTAAAATATGAATAAATATGTTCTAAGTGGGTTGCTAAAAGATTCTAGGTAACATACATGATGTTAGTGTATGAACTTCATACTGATTGATCTTCCTTTTCAAGCTTTGTTTTCTTCATTTTTTGCATATATTCTGAATCATTCAGATAGTCAAATCAATAATTTCTGAATAAATGAGACTGTTAGATTTTTTCTTTTGATTCACTGAAAAGATGATTTTAGTTCTATAAAGAGGTAGTTTTCAGAATACCTTAGAGTGGACTCTTTAAAGTAAAAGTAACTAAATTGATTTGTGGGGTTTTGTGTTTTTTTTGGCCTGCTAGGAAATTTTAAATCATTTTTTTCTTGTATGTAATGGTTGTTTTTTTATTCTCCCTCTTCATTACTATGAAAAGGTTATACTTGATTTTATAATATAAACACTTGCAAGAGAAGACTGCTTATTTGAGTCCTTTATCGCTATCACTATAGTGATACTATCAAAGAAAGTTTTTACACGTACTTTACCGATTTTTTATAGTAATATGTTTTAGACATCAGAAATCCAGCTATTTAGTATATATTAATGTACATAATGTATTAAGTGCAAATATGCTGATCACATCACATCACATGATCAGATTTAGTGATCCCACAAACCTGGGAGGAACAATGAATATAATATATGAAAGAAACAAAACTCAAAAGGCTGAAAGACTGGAAATGTGACCTTAAAAGCAACCTATCATGATAAAATTTAATAGATCTTATTATCACATCCAGAGGTTGTGACCAAAGCCTCCAGCTGCACAAGTAATCACTGAAGGAAATTCAAATTGCAGCTGCATAAATGAAAAAAAAAATCCTTATGAGTTTTAGGTGACAGAAGCACAATGAGCTTAGCATGAAGAATACTGCCAAAAGATTGCCAGTGCTAATTAGTCAGCATTACTAGAAGTATATAGTATTTAAGAGGAGTTGTCCTACCACACTCAATCAGATGTTTCCAAAGTACTGTGTTGAGTTCAGAATTAGCACAATATAAGACTCAAAACCATTATGACATTTTCAGAGAACCATCAGCATGATTAAAGGCACAAAATATATAGTAAGAGAAATGTTTGAAGGAACTAGTAATATTTAACTCCAGAGGAACAAAGATCAGGAATGAAATGCTATCTTTAAAGATTAAAGTTACATAGAGGAGCTTTGGGGATTATTTTGTCTACCTCCCTGGGGCTAGAATGGATAAATAGCAGTGACAAGAAGTTATAAGGAACCAGATCATGGTTGATAACAAGACCAACTATCTAATGGTTGCACATGTCCATATGGAATAATCTTCAATCTCTCTTTAGAGGTATGCATCAATCCCGATTGTCATTTTAATAGTGCTCTTGTAGAAGACAGAATATTAGTCTTTTTCCAATGCTAAGGCTATAAATTTTTATGAACTGTATTCTTATACAATATCCTTTTTCTTATACAATATCCCTTTTGTAGCCTTAATCACTATGTAATATTGCTATTTTCTATTCCTTTTTTTTTCCTTCTCTGCAATATATTGGATCAAAACTCAAAAGATTTCTTTTCTTTTTAAACTCGGGATTCTTCTTGTTTTGTTCAAATCTCTTTGATGGTCTACTGAAGTCTATATTTCCTTTCTTAGAATTATTTTAAAGTAATATACATATAATTACGAAGAGAATGTACATTAAAAGACTGAATAATTTTAAAAATTTGTGATGGGGTAGAATGTGCTAATATATTACTAATACATTAAAATAAGATCTAATGGAAGGCCTGAGAATAGCATAATTTTGAAGCAATAAGGTGTTTTGAGATTCTTCAACAAGTATAATGTGATATAAAAATATCTAGTGTAATCTTTCGGTGATGATGTTATAGGTGTAGTGAATATTCTACGGTTTGTTGCCTATATCCATAATTTAAGAAAATGCAAATTTCCATTTGATGATTAGTCAAAAGAATTGTTTTCCATCCAAATTCACAGAAAGCCTGAATTCTGTCCATGTCTTTTGAGGTTTATTATAGACCCTGGGTTAAGAATTTCTGTGCTAGGTGATATGAAGCACCCATAATGAATAAAAGAATAGTCTCTAACTTCAAAGAATGAGCATTCTAGTAAAAGCTATAACACATATTTGGGATTCTAGTTCAATATCTAATATATGATTTGTTACATGAAAGTTACATAGATAAAATGTTATGGGAATTTGTAAGAGTGAGAGATTGCTCTAGGCTAGGAAAACAAAGAAAGACTCTATAGGGAAATGGATCCTAACTGGTTTTGGAAAATGAGGAGGTTTATGAAGATAGAATGGAGGAGAGAGACATTTCAAGCAGAAGGAATAGGCAGAGACCTTTAAAACACCCACGAGTTCAGGTTTCAAGTAAGGTGAATTTGCATATGGGATATAAGGCTGAAAAACTGGGCTATGTTCAGATCATAGTGGCCCTTTAATTTTTTGGCTGGGGATTTTGGCCTTTATGTTGAAGGTGATGGAAGAAGCATTTTTTAAAAAGCAAGAATAAGGTGATGGATTACAATTTTCCTTCAGGAAAGTTAATCTGGCAGGATGGTATAGGACAGATGAGAGCAGAGAGAGCCATTAAAGAAATTGTTTCAGGACAGAGAATATGAAGGCCTGAATTAAGGCAGCAGAAATGAGAAAAGAAAGGGAGTGAATATGGAAAAGATATTAGGAAATGGGATTGCTAAGACTTGATCTTCGAGTGTGGAGACTAAAAAGAATAAAGAGTGTGGTAATATGTACAATGAATAAAGAGAGTGGAAGAAAAAGTTTTGGAAATGGGAACAAAAATATTTCTATTTTTTATTCTGAGTTTGATATTCTGCATTTGAATCTTACTTTAATTAGCAATAGAACAGAAGAGAATAGTGGGAGAACAAATGGTTATAAAAAGGTCATTAAAAACCTTAAGATAGATTTCTGATTCTAAATTATATGGTTGATCAAAAGAAGTAGAATAGCTCTATCAATATTTTTTTGGATTTGACCCTTAAAGCTCATGCATTAAAACTTTAAATATATATTCCATTGAAGTAGTATTCTATTTCTTAGAAATTTATCCTCAAGAAATAAAAATGTATCTATGAGACTTTCTTTATTAGTACATTTTTTGCAATACATAGGAGAACATTTAAACCGGATGTGGTGGTACACACCTGTAATCCCAGCACTTGGGAGGGTGAGGCAGGAGGCTTGCCATGGGTTTGAGGCTGATGTGGACTACATAGTAAATTCAAGGCCAGCCTGAACTATATAGCGAGACTCTGGAAACAACCTAAGTGGCCATTAGTAGAGGGGTCAATCAATTATGATATATGTACTTTATACAATTATTAATGAGACTGTCAAGAGAAACAAAACTGTTCCAGTTCCATCTGCTCATTTGGGGCATATCATGTTATGGTATGTATCAGAGCTGTCAAATATGTTTCTCACCCTCACACACTTCTCCTTCATGGTTTCAGGGCCTTATATGTTTGGACTCTATATCAGATTAAATACCTTCCC